TATAGATTGTTATTAGGATTATTATATTATTAGGAGTCTTAATATTTATTTTTGGTTATAAATAAGCCTTTTTAAACCATCAAGAAATATGTGAGATTTCTTTCGAGGTTAGGCTCTTTTAGTCCTCATCATCCTACTAATAGTTGTGGGAATCTTATATTAGCCAAATGGCTAAAGCCATCGGCAGGGGCGGAACTGGCCTTTCAATTTAGTGGGGGGGGTGCAAAATTTTCATAAAAATGGATACAACAACAACAACAATATCAAGCTTTTTTCTCACTACGTGGGGTCGACAACATAAATGGATAAAATTAAAAAAATAAAATAAAATGAAGACATAATTCAAAGCAAAATTTTGTATTTCATTATAATAGATAAAATGAAAATTACAATAAATAAACAAGAAACAAAGCGACTAAAATTTGAAATGTTAACGGTGCATTGGATGTAATTAATTGTGCATTGGATGGCATTAGCTCCCAACTGATGAAACATAAAGGGCAATCCTCTCAATTCCCTCCTTTATCTTGATTATATAGGTAAGGAAATGAAAAATCAACTCGCAAGACATACCAGTTTCAATCTTATAAAGACAAAATATATTCAACAACAAAAGCCTTATTAATATACATGATACACAAAGCTCTACTTTTCAAAAAATTTAAGTTATATTCCTTATGAGACAAACTTAACAATGTTCCTTTAACATGCAAGAAACTGCTTCCCGTTGGTCTAAACAAGGAAAAAAATGAAATCCGTTATAGCATAAAAAAACTCAGCGCACTTTCCATTCCCATAATGGTCAATGGAAAATTTTTCAAATGTATCAGGGCCATATTACCCAAACACACCTCTCTTATAATTAAAATAAAAAAATTTAGGGGGGGGGGGGGGGGAAAAAGGGGGGGGGGGGGGGGGGTAATTGCCCCCCTGACATCAACTTGGTTCCGCCCCAGGCCATCGGGCTCTTATCACAAACATCTCAAATATATTATAATTTTCATATAATATTAGCTTTACTGAGTAACAATTCTTAAATATATTTTCTTGAAATGCCGATTTCTAAAATGTAATAAAAAGATAAATTGAAAGGAAAATATGTCATATAGCGTAATCCTATTGAGTGTCGATTAGAGTAGTATGAGAATCAATTTTTTGCTTTTCAAACTGCGATCACATTTTTTAGTTTGCCATTGGTTATTCGTTGCTTTCAAAAAAATATTGTTGTAGAAAGCTGCTTTCTACAACAGCTTTAAGAAGTTACTTTCTCTACAATAACTTTGCAAAATAGTAAGAAAGTTGTCCTATGCGAAGCATTGGGATAGCTTTCTAGTACAAAAATAAAAAATTTGTATTAAAAAGCTGCTTTGAGGAGCAATAAGAAAACGGTCTAAAAAGAAACCTTAACTTCTAATAGATAACCAAAAATTTTAGGTGCATGTCCTATGAAATATTAATTTACAATAAAAAATAACATCTATTATTATTCAAATGTTTTTATTTTATTAATGTGATATCAAGTATAAAAGGCGAATATTTGATGTAAGCTTAATCACCCGATGGAAATAATGATTATTTAACCAATTATAATTGTTATGGAATGAATCGAGGGAGATCAAAATTAGGCTGGATACATAATGATAGTATCTCTGGGCTTCGTTTGGGACTTTTTTTTTACTATTTCTTAAAGAAACTTTAAAGTACATAATTTTTAAGGTTGCTTTAAAAAGCACTAAGAATGTCGTCCCGAACACAATCTTAATTGTTAAATCTATTTTTAATTTAAGAAATTAAGTTTATTTTTGAATGTCAACAACTTAGTATTGTCGCATAAATGTTTTTTACAATTATTTAATAGGAGATTAAGTATTCATTTGAGACCGCTTTTTTACTTGTTTTTAAAGAAAATTTTTAATACAAAAATTAAAATTTTTATTCTAAAAAACTACTTTAAGAAGCAATAAAAAAGCCGTTCCAAATGAAGCCTAAATCTAAAATTCCACACATCTTAACAATCTTCTATTTTCTTTCATAAGAGTTTCATACATCAGTCATCACTCCACTCAAATAGATCAAAGTATCATCAAATAACATGTATCAAGAGCTCGCTAATTAATCATAGGAGAATATTAATTATAGGAGATAATAACCCTAAATATTAAATTCTATCAACTTATTAATACATTTAAAATTGTTCCCGAGCACAAAATTTTAATTGATTCATCTTGAGACTAAATTAACTTGCAAGCAAATAAATTGCATCCACCCTTTGCTAGGTGTTGTCCCAATCTCTTATTTTCTTGCAAGGGTTATACATAA